GGAAATCACATAAGCCCAGATGTTACTGGATTTACTACCAGTAAGTACAATGTAATTTTTAAAGGTTATAGTCTGTCATCTCTGACTTCAGGGAACTGATTTAAAACTACACAAAGGAAAAGATGAACATATACCTGACTACACTATGTGTATGTAAACACAACTTACGAATGTAATCAAGAGTTGTCAACTCTTAGATTCACTTAATGTTAAAAACTATAGTTCTGAGATTTTGGAAAAATTTTAACCAGTACAAATAATGGCCTTTTTGTCACGATGAGAGTTACTGTTGCTTCCAAACCAATGCAACTGCCAAAAGTCCATTTGTAGGCAGGGGCTGCAGAATTAAATGTTGTGAAAGAATTCCATTATCACTAAAGTTTTTGCGTCAACATTTCCTAAGAGTACAGCCAATGCTAAAAAAAATATAAGATGGCAAGCCAAACAAACACCCACTGGTTTCAAGGCAGTATTGGAAAAAATACTCCTTAAAGCTCCATTATTGGTGCAATATTTGGGTTTCAGCAATCATCAAATTTCAGTGCAATATTACTTTCAAATTTAATGAATACTTGCCTATATACGTTAACTCCCCTAATTCCTGTCAAAATCTATCCTTCCCCGCTCCCCACCCCGCTCCAGATTAACGTAAGACTTTAAGAAACTTGTGAATTGTTAACTCCACAGCGTGCTTAATCCTCTGTCTTCTCTGTCCATGCCCCAGTGCTTTTTATTCTGAGTACTAGGAAGCTTAAAAAAAAAAAAAGGTACAGAAAGTTTGGAATTTTGTACAGATCAGTATATTAACATATGTTAAGTGCGTAACCTTTGCTGCACTCCAATATAGCCTCCAATGGTAGTGATAGACAACAAATCTGCATATACTACAAAGCAATAAGCGAAGAACAATCAACAGCCTTGCACAAACGAATGTATAAAAGAAAGAGAGAAGAAATGGGGATATGACTCCCAACAAAAAATAATTAAATATACAAGGCAATATAAGGGCTACTAAATCAAACTGAATATCAGACCTGAAAGAAATGTCTTTTAAGAAGTTAAATACTGCGATTCTAAAATATACACATGCAGCAAGGAAAACCCATTTAGCTGTGTTATCTGGATGTTAGTGTTATACAGCATATCTTAAAAAAACGGGTGTAGTATTAACAGAAAGAGCAATAAAACAATTAGATTTCTCCAATAATTTTTCAGTGTCACCTTCAGTTTACCACTGAATAAAACGGTCTCTTAATAAAGAACTGCTGCATGCAGATTCCTTGACTATTGTAACTCGAAAGGTCACTAAAAGCAAACTTGCAGAAAAAGAACAAGTGCTTGGGTTTTCAGATACATGACTTAAAACTCAGAGCAGAACTTGCAGGTAAACTGTGCATACCTGCTATTTTTAAGTTTCAGAATCTGCACAATATACATGCTGCACGGTTTCACTCAGAGGGTTTAACATAAGAAATCCAGAAAACATGCAAAATACATTTTTAAATAAGGTGTTTTTGAAGGGTCAGTGAATATATTTTGGACCAAGCTGTGAAAGCATGTATACTCTCTATAATAAATATACCAAAACATCATTTACTAATAATGTAACAGCATTTACGTTTTCGCCTCTTAGTCTCCATCTCGTCATATAGATGAATTCCATAGTATGATCCTTCCCCATGATTTCTCCATTGCATAGTACATCCAGCTTAAAATACAACAGAACAAACAGTAAGACAAAGGGATGCAAAATTTTAGTGTCTAAATTAACTCTTGAGTGAATCTCTGAGAGTTAATCCCTCAACTCCTACCATTATACAGTAATTCCATCAGACATGTATATCAAACCCGGATAAATACAACATACTGACAATAAACTAGACTGCTTTTTTAATAATAGAATTCCACTTAATTTTCTCACTTTTGTGTTTTCAATTAAGGTGTGGACAGAAGACAGTCTACTAAACTAGGCAGGAAATCACTAGTAGACAAACATTCCCTGTATTTACCAATACTACATGCTATCTGTTTGAAGAGAAAGCCTTGTGCTGTATTTTGAAGGCCGCCTTGCTATGTCAATACTCTTTCAAACCCAAAGATACAAAACAGAAGTACTGTAATTTTCATTTTTTAAAAATAAACGATAATGCAATTTAAAAAAAATATTTTAAAAATAACTATAAATTAGAAGGAAAATGCACTTCTGAGTGTATAAACATGATTCTTCATTAACTGAAGGCAAAATAAAAAAAAAGTAATGATCTTACTGTGAAAAATGACTAGTTTAAACTGTGCATCTTACTTCTACCCTCCATTGAAAATGTTTGGAAAATCTTTCCTTACTAGAGCCACAATGCTTTTCTGTCTTTTAGAGGAAAAAAAGGTCAAAATTTTGAAGTAAGCAGATACTATGTAACACAAGCCATTAAGGTGCCAGAGACAGATTAAATTAACATAATTAATAAAACCAAATGACATCAAAATGGCCGGTCAGCATGTCATGATACTGTGACAAACTCCTGCATATAGCTCTGCAATAACCTGTGCACCTGACCTAACTCAGCCCTACCTCTGACCAAAGCCGGGATGCTGCTGTTTGTGCTACAGGTGGCCTGCAGTTCATGGAGTCATTGACTCCTGCAAGAGAACTGGCTGAAGAAATAGCCTGTGCTCAGGTCAAAATCCCTGTACCCCTGGGAAGAGGGAAAGCAGAGGCAGGAGTCCCACACTTTGCAACTCCACCCTGCATCACAACTTCTACCATGCTAGCAAGTCTCCCCAGGGAACAGTCTTGGCCAACATCAAATCACTCATGGAGCAAAGGCCCTCTCTCCATGAAATTCTAGCTAATTCCAGAGAACGTGCAAAAAAGTATCTGCATTTTGAAAGATTCAAATGGGATTGCTCCTCACTTCTTCCTAATTACTGGATAGTTTCTTACCTCCAAAGAAAATGAAACTGCAGAGCAATCTGGTTTATGTCTAGTTGATCTCTCCTTTACCCCAGAAGCTACTAGCCCAAAACAGTATTAAGTGACTTTTTTATTAGCCACATGGAAAGACAAAGCATTTATTTTTTACATAAAAATATGAAAACCTAATGTATCTTTCCTTCACAGGTGAGACACAAACTGAAGTTACTCGAACTGTATGAGTTCCTTGATGAGCAGCTTTAGTCACTGTGATAAAATGATCACTTCTCATTTAAGGGCAGAAAATATAACTTGGAATATTGAACAGTACTTAGTGATTGGGCTAAAAAATATTCCTCAAGTTCAAATATGATTAAATTCCATAAAATCCTAATACTTTGCAGGGAAATAAAAATACAAGCATCATTCTTGCAAATGTACCTCATAAGAACTTGGAAGTTTTAATTTTAAGCTGAGAAACTTTTTGATAGTTCCCACGGTCACTCGAGTAGAACAGCGGATAAATTTCTTCATTAAACCCTAAAGCAACAGCAACAAAACAGAAAAACCATGTTAGAAATTTTGGAGCATGTAAGCAATCTTTAGTGCAAGAACAGCTGTAATTGATTTTTTTTTTTTCAACCAGTAACGAATTTTACTGCACTTTCTTCTCATTCATAATGGCACCACAGGTTCCTTTTTGTTCACTTTTTTGCAAAATTACAAGATGACAAACAAGTTCATTTAACCCTTCTCTGGTTCTAAAGAAGTTTCCAAAAGATACAGAAGGGAGGAAAGAAGAAACACACAAAATAACCAAAAAACCAAACAAATCCAAAACACCAAACCCACCAAAAGCCCCAGAAGAACTTAAATAATCGAAGTGTCTCTGTTAGTTACGTTGGGAGTCAAACAGATGTTACATTTCTTAGAATTTCTTCAGTCCTTGAGAGAAAAAGGAAGTAAAAACGTCCTCTAATAATCTAGGTAAAATACAGGGAAGCTACAAGCCTGAGACGTGATCTATTGTCACAGATTCTGTGATGCAGAACCTAGTAGTTTTGATTCCACAGGAAAGCTGGAAACCTGAGACTCCTACGTGGTGATGGAGATACAGATTTCTTACTGTATACAGCATAAACAGACAGTGGTAACACATACATATATTTTCTTGCTGAATCAAAACTTTCTTACTGTGTAAAAACTTCCAAAATCATACATGCAACATAGTACACAGAAAATATAAGTAGCATTTTATTAGACAAATTTTTAGTATTTTTAAAATTCTTGTCTTTGTAATTTAATGAAACATTATTAAAATCTAAGAGCATTTCTAAACACTTTCTCCTAGCCTCAATACCATTAGGTAATCTTCCCTTCATGAATAGAAACCAAATATCCCTAATTCTTAAAACAGCAGTTAGCAGGTATTACTCTACACATTTTACAGATGGAAGTGACCTGCCCAAGGCCGCAGATGACACATCAGTGTCAGAAACAGGTTTACAGCTCAGAAGATCTGGATTCCAGTCATTCAGTGCACAACATATCTGAAAAGCAGCTTCATGCTGGTGTGGTAAGACAGCAATCCTGAAAGTGTGAGGCAGCTCACCTACAGCTAGCTTTCTAAGTATCTCTGTGGTGTGCTGTAATCTGTTGTGTAAAGCAGTTATATACCATCAAGGCTGTAGACTACAAAACTATAATCCATTTAAAAAAAAAAAGAAAAAAAGATCCACTGTCACAGATGGATTTCTCTATGGAATTGTATTTTTTACAAAATTCCAAGATGCATTGAAATGTTCCAAACAAAAGGACTAAATAAGTGTGGAAGTGGAGACAGGTCACCACATTAAAGTTTATTGTTAATGGTTATAAAATGATTTGGTTCCTTTAATGGTTATAAAATGATTTGGTTCCTTTAAGATGCTATTCTGCCAACAATAACAACAGCACAGATTATCTCTACTACTCACTTTGACTACATTATCTCCTGACTGCCCATTGTTGCGTAAGCAGTCGAGGCAAATAGCAATCTGTGGGTCACTCCTGTGATAGTCTTTATCTTCTTCATTTTCATCACACTCCTCATCTACTTTGGGTTTATCAGCTTTTGGGCTTTCATCTGTAAAATACAAACATCATACCATATAATAATGAAAAAGTCACAGTAGCAACAAACATATTTAAAGTAATACTTCATTTTCAACAGCGTATTTTTTCTTCAAATTAACTTTATACAATTTTAATTCAGTGCATTCTTAAATTGATCAATTTACAAATCTCTGAAAACTAAGTTTTACTGTTGAAATTTTAATGTAATATGCAAACAACAGATTTCTATATGACAGAAAATAATTAGGCAGGTGGACCACTAATGGTTATGGCTGTCTACTTCTGTTTGTGTTCAGTGATTAAAACCCTGCAACTGCGCATGCATCAAGATCACTCAACCACATAAACCTACTCTGTGGTGTGGCAGTTCACTACCAAAAAATATTGCTTTTAAATAAACAGTGGAATAACTAATCCCAACACTTGTATATCAAAGTAATATGGGTAATCAATTCATATTAACTGTCTGTTGCAATAACCCAGTGGAGACAAGTTCCTGAAATGTTATCATGAAGTAAAATAAGGCAAGATGAAAACTTAACTTTCACCCACTTTCGAGCTGGTCTAAGTAACGTCATTGTAAAAACGCCAAGTGTCTCTCTCCAGAAGGATTTTATAACTAAATAGCCATATACTTACTTATTCCCCTTTAAAAACAAAAAATGTAAGAAAAGAGGAATGGTCCCCATATTTTTGGCAGAGCACACATATCCGATATCACATATACCATGTTACCTCTCTTCACTGATGCTGTTACATGTTCTATTGATTACTGGTTTAAAAATGTAACTCTTTGGAAAAGGTACCATCTCTTACAGTTTTCAAAGGTTTAGCATAGTTGAACACTCGAATGCTAAGACTAGCAAGCACATCTAGACAAGGCCGCAATGTCTGCAAATCATAGAATCGTTTAGGTTGGAAAAGACCTTTAAGATCATCCAGTCCAACCATTTAATAATACAAATAACAACCATACAAATGAACCATAAAATGGAGTAATATTTTACAGATTTGGAATACAGTAATCAATAACCCTATTATATACATTTGGTTTTTTCTGTATCCCCAACTTTGTTATTTTTGATTTAAAACAAAGGCTGCTCTCTGTTGGAATAAAACATTATCACAAGTAACTTGAATAAGCTACTTTTGCATTTCCTGAAAAACTTTCAGATCAAATTCTGCTGTTTCCTACACTTAGCACAAACTTTAAGTCATTTAGACAAGTTAAGATGAGAGGATAGAATGAAAGCTTTAACAAATATCAAGCTATGCCTGAGTTTCTAGACACAGTAATTAGTTCACTTTGTTTAGTTTACATATTCAGGATGAGTTTTAAGCTACATTCATTACTTTTCTTTTGTACTGTTTTAAAGTATTTTATAATTATAAAAGAGTTGTCCACAAGTCCCTACTAGCTATTGACACATTTAGTTCAATATGTATCATACATACGTTTTGTTCCTATCATCTTGCTATGAACAGAATTTACAGTATCAAACTACATATTATTTTTTTTCTTTTTGTGAAAATCCAGGAAGCAAATTCTTTTAATCAAGCAGGTACAGTCTACCTGTCACAAGCATTTGTTTGAGGAGTCTGCCTATGATTCACAGATTCTTTAGCAATGCAAACACATATACAACTTTCAACAGTTATCACTGCTGAGTAATGGAGGAAGATTTAGTTGTCAAGAAGTCTTGAAAGGCAAACCAACTACAGAACTAGGGCAATTAGCAAATTTCCAATCATGAAATCATTCCAGAAACAGGTACACACACAAACACCATTGCATCTTTCAAGATATTCTGATAGAAATTCAAATGTTCCTCTCTGTAAATGGCACCAGACTATTTACCAAAAAATCCTTCTTGATATTAGAACTAATGATGTTTGTATGGGCAGCCTCCAGAAATCAATGTGATGCTCCATTAAAGGCATATTAAAAGTTCAATATGATACCAGTTAGGAAAAAAAAAAAGAAAACAAGAAATTTTAATCTCACCAAAATGCACTTGGCATTCTCCAAGTCAAAAGCATCAAGCCAAGAACAGAAGACAGGAAAAATAAACCAACTCCCCACCCACCTCCACGCCTCTTTCCTTAAGCTGTAATTTGGTGTCTCATTTTTTTTCTCCTCTTTCTCGCAAACCTTGGAAATTGTCTACTTCCTGTGCTTTTCTCCGATATTCAGCGTAAAACTGATTGCCAGGGAGTGAGTCAATGTCAAGCTGTTTGCCCTCTTCCTTCTCCAGTTCAGACTGGAAAGGACCAATAAAGGTTTTTTTCTCTGTACCACAGTATGTTTCCTATCATCCCCCGTCAATTCTCTCTAGTAACCTCTCTCTTAGGGGAGTCACCAATGCCCAAGATATGCTTTGTTGTTTGGGTTTTTTTCTTCTGTATGTGAAAATTTTAAGTGCTGGGGTTTTTTTACAGATCTTAGATGCTAAGGTTAGGAACTGTGTTGTGACCTGTAGTAAATGCGTAACTGATGGACTCTTTTAACCTAGACTGACTATGTGATTGCAAGGGGTGGTACTGACAAATGAAACAGTCCCTTATTACTGAAATTATTCTCACCAAATCATTTATTCTCAGGCAAGATTCTAAATGCTTGTTTACAGCAGAAAATAGTTTAAATGCTTATAATTTGTCTCAATGAGTTATCACGACTTTCAAATGGTTTGCACAATCAAATTTCCATAGCCCAAAGACACAGTCACTAACAGAGCTGGATACATCTGTAGCTACTTAAAAGTATAATTTGAGAGTTAGAGCCTTCCTCTGATTCACAAAACAATCCAATCACTCATTACACTTAGTAACTGATCTCCATTAGGTTTACCATTAAATTATGTGAGGAAGGTAAGAACCAGAAGAATAAATCAGTTAAAAGTAACTCACTTTCTACAAATTTGCAAATTGTATGTTATTTTTTTCTGTCTATGTATATAGCAGAAAATCGTTTTCAAAACAGTCCACAAGCATCTATATTTCATGAAAATGTTTTCTAAGTATTTTTAAAACTGAATAGATACATGCTACACAGTATGTTGTAGTAAACTAACATAATTTCATCTAAACTGTCCTGCAGTTCTTCATTTAATTATATAACAGAGAAAAGAACCTTGTCCCTTATAATGGATGCCAAATACAAATCAACAAAACTAGTGAGAAAGAAAATTAAATGTTATGAAGTTGAACAGAAGATATAAACAATTGACTGCAGAAGAGTATTGCAAGACATTTGACAGTGATCCTTTACTAAAAATAGCTATTTGTTTAGCTTAGCAGAGCCTTTCAAAAATTCTTAAAAATGCCCAAACCAAATAGGCTATGGTATCAAAACCTTGATGTCAAATTAAAGGGGCATAAAAACAGTTGGATGTAGTCCTCACTTAGCACCTCAATGCTGAGCTCTCAAAGTTCATGGGTCAACTACCAAAAAAAAAAAAAAAGAAAGAAAAAGAAAAAGTGTTTTGGAATCTATGTAAAACAATTGTTTAGCATGTGTGGAAAACTATTTTACTACTTGTCATAACTAATTCTTGACAACCTCCTAGTTAACAGCTGGTGAAATTCAGTAACAGGAGATAATCTGTAAAAAACTCAAGCAGTTCTGCATCTTGCTGTATTAAGAAAATTAAGAATTCAAGTGGAAAAGCACATGAGTGTTGAAAGTGAGCGCTTAGGAAAATCCAAATAAAAATAACAGTAAAACAGCTAGCGTTCATAAAACAACTGGTTAATAGATGAGCAGCAGAAAATGCAGGCCCAGATTACATTTACATAGATTCATTATGAGTTTCTATAATATCTTTGAATTCAGTAAAAACAATGCACATGCATAAGTGTTTGAAGAAACAGGGCTTAATGAGCAATGTTACTTAACATACAGATGAGAGAGGGGGGGAAAAAAAAAATCATCACCTTGTCCATTTTCTTGAGGTTTGTTTTTCTTCCAAAATTCAATCTCTCGCTGCAGTTCCTCTAGTTAACATCAAAGAACAGTAATGTAAATTTTTAAATCAATACTACAGGTATATCACTGGAAATAGTCATATTCCCTCCATCAACCCAAACAGGTACCCAAAACCAAATGAGAAACTTACGTTCTCGAAGTCCAGGCACCAGCTTAAATATAATTTCCTCTAAGGTGTTATCCAGCCTTTCAAAGGGAAAAAATACATTTCACGTTAAGTAGGAACTAGCATTTTAAATATTTTTAGCCTTGAAATAACAAAAAGTTTTGAATAATAAAATGAATTGCATATTTCTGGTAAATAATACATCCTGCAAAACCCAATTGATTTTGGCTTGGCAGACAATATGCATTAAAGCTTACCTCAACCACCTCTTGAATGGATTTCTTTTAGAAAGACCAAGGAATTTATTTTTTAATGTATAAAGACAAAAACGAAGCAAAAGAGAAAAAACATTATACTCTACAATTTTCATTGTTTTAATTTGTGTTACATGCAAACAATTGCGTTCCTAAAAGGAACAAAGTGGAAAAGTAGTATCCAATTTTAAGGTCCAGGTCATAAGTAGTAAATGCGAAAATTATAAACTCCATTATCATATTAAGTGTTCAAGTGCTTTGGTAATAAGGCTGTTACGAAAAACTGAACAGACTATTCCCTACTCGTTACAACACAGACAAACCATCTTGGCAGGATAAAGAAGGCCACAGAGCATCCATGCTGCTCTGGCTAGACAGTTCTCAGTACCCAACATAATTCATTTAAACTATTTAAATCTGCCATGCGTTTGTCTACCAGACGACAGTACGCAGCACGGGCACGTGCTCTGATATCCTGATATTAGTGCCAGAAGTAACTATTACAGTCCCTTCCAGAGGATACAGTGCATTTACCTTTGCTGCTGAAGCTAAAATATTTTTCTTCCCTTTCCTCTGAATTTTACCTGCTCTCCTATCTAATTAATTTATCATGCGCTTTCTAGTTGCACTTTCTCTCCCTGTCTCACTTATCTTTCGGTTTCCTCAGTCTCTCATTCTGTTTCTTTCTCCTTTCTCTCCTTTGCCCTCTACATCTTCTCTTCTGAACAGTAACTCCCACTGTCCACAGCCTAAACAAAAACCCATGACAAAACAAAGTACTAAGTAATATGGCGAGAGAAATTAAGTATCTTCAGATTCACTCAGAAGCTACAATACAGTAATTGCCTTCAGTATATTTTAATTGCCTTAATTTTTCATCTCAATAATGACATATATCTCTCTCTATATATTTGCATATATACATACATGTATGTGTACATGTTATTAATAATACACTGTAGGCCTGTCACAAAATATATGACTGTTCTCTATCTTTTGTTCACTAGCAGCGACAAAGTAGGAAGAAGACTGAATGATTTTATTGTTAAGGAATGCCTAAAAGCCATTTTAATAGATAAGAATGATCTTCTTAAAATAAATACAAGAGCATTCCAGGTTCTCTTCTCTACAGAATTTGTATTTGTAACTGAAAGTTTACAATTAGACCTATTATCCAATCATCTTGTTCTGAGACTAGGTCCCTGTGTTATCCGTCAGTGCATGGAGACAGACGTACCATAAGAATATTCATGTTTAAGCTACAACCACAATCCATTTTTTAAGTGCTGCTTCTTATAAGGACAAAAAAAAAAAAAAAAAAATCTTCAGGAAGTGAAACAGACCTCCCCTAAAACAAAGAAGCATAGAGAGTACGTTCTCACAAATAGGAAGGAAACCAAAATTATGGGATGTCTGAGCACCTAGCTTCCAACAGATGACAATATAGGTCTACCTTTCCAAATGATATGTTATCTCTTCTAGCCTCTCCTCTCAGTATCTAATGCAACTAGATGGTACTGCTTTCTGTGAAATTCCCACAGCAGAGCACAGGGAACTTGGGAACCTGTCTTGGAAATGGAATTCACTTCACATTGTAAGAAAGCTCCAGTCTTCATAACTTACTCATTAAGAAAAAAGAAATAAGAACTTCAAAAGAGAACATCATTACCTTAATTCAAAATCCCACTAACCATGGTATAATACATGCTGCTTTTTCTACATTTATTTTTGAAAATTCCCTCTTAGCACTTTCTAATTTGCCTTCAATGGCCCAAAACAAAAGTCACTGGTAATGCTAACATAGCAAGAAATCCAGTATACTTAGCAGATTTACAATGCTAGCAGCAAGAACTGGCTTCATACTCTAGTCAATAACTTTATTTTCTTTCAAAAACTACACAAACAGAGCTATTTCATCCTTATGAAGCATAAATACTAATCAATACTTTATAAATGCAGAAAAAATAACTCTTATCTGCTCTTTAAGTACAGTAAAACTAAACTTAAACTATAGGGGAAAAAATAGGAAATTATAAAAAGATTCTCAATTTCAGATGCATCTTACATTGTTCCTATTATCCAGGCCTATTAGCACTCTAAAAAAGATTTGTATTTCTGTGACTTGCATCAAACCCATTCCAAAATGAAACTACTTGACATAACTCCAAAGTTGGTCTCAGTCATTTAATACTTCCTGTTAACGCTGAAACAAGAATATTAATATTTTAGAAACACCTCTTTCCACCCCACATCTTCCAGCCTCCAAACCAGAAAGTACAGAAAGAAAAACTGAGCATTTGTGTCAGCTTTGAATAGTTTCTTTTTTCACCTCTTCTATAATATTGAATGACTTGTAAGAGCAAAGCTACTCTCTGATAATGCTAATTATCTGAAGTGAAGCAAACGAAGACTATCACTCAGGAAACTTTCCACCCAAAGAAGTATGCCTTCATGGTATAACCAACCGAGACCCTACTGAATACTGATGATGCAGAATTCTGCTAAATCAGGAAAGGCCATTCTAGAATTTAACACTCCTCCTAGATTTTGATTTTAGAGCTCAATGTTGAATTTCAGACTTAGGCTTAGAGTTTCAACAGACCCTAAGTGCTGCCAACTATAAGATACATCTAAAAAACTCACAGTAGCGAAGCTATTCAGAACTGAGTTTATAAAGTAGCTTATAAAGTTTATCTCAAAGATCTCAGTTAAAAAAAAAAACAAAAAACCTATCTAGAGTGTTCAACGCCATTTCTCAGAAAATGACTGCATTCTTGAGCAATGCTTGGGCTGGTCTCTACAGTCAGAGTATAAGACACGTATTAAGTTATGCAGGCAACATCCAGAAAAGAGAATTCCATTACACTGCTCATGTGGTCTTCTGATTATTAGTTTAGCAAATGTTTAAAACTGTTTCATAAAATACAACGAGCAAATTACTAGCTGTATACAGTTTGTTGGCAAATAAACCCCACGACTCTAAAAGGAGTTTCAGGAAATAATTGCAGAGAAACTAGCTCTTCCCACATTTCTGCCTTGTGGTCTCAACTTTTCTCACCTTTCTATCATTTCCTGCTTAAAGCATATTATTATTTTACTAAACATCTACTAGATGTTTCAGAAAATGCATTTTTCAGCTCCTATGAAATGGTCCTGTCAGAATAAAAGAATGCTTTTGTTTTCAGCTTATTAGTAGTCTCATGCACTCTGTTTAGCATCTTCTGTTACGGCTGACACAGCACCTCAGACACTGACAGGAGATCAGAAAAATGCTTATGGAAAACATCTACATAAACCCTTTTAGCCCTACCCTTCCAAAAAACATTCAGATGATAAAGACTTAAGCTAATAACACCCTTTAGAGTTGCTGAATTTAATCTCTCTCACCTATCCTCTTGGTACATAACTGAAGCACAGGAATTGCTCTGCACACACACATCAGTCAAAAAATCAAAGCAAAATATGACAAATTGTAGCAAACACAATGACATTAGGAAATAATACCAACCCTAATAAATTCGAAGTGTAAATATTTATTTTAACATTGATGTAAGAACATTTCTTCTGAAGTTCACAACAGTATTACAAACTAATAATATTGGGGGTGAGGGGGTGAAGGGAGTGTTAGGAGTGAGGGCAGGGAGTGCCTTCATCATTTTAGGAAAACATGAAGTTCTTCCACTTATGATGACATTTCTTGATCCCTCTATACTGGTAGGATGGTTATCACCTTTGTTTCAACATAACATCACTAAAAGAATCCAGAATTTCAAGAAAAATAATTGTTTAAACAAAGACGTGTTATTGTGATATAAAAAATGCAAACTCTCAAGAAAGGGCACTTTCAGTGTCAAAACTTTCTTTCATGAGTATCTTTTCATTAAACTAACAGCAGATTTCAATTCAGATTGGTAAATCTATGCCCTGGAAAACATTCACTTATTTGCATGATTCATTTTCTACATTGCTCTAAGAAGAAAAAAAGTTGCATGCAGTTTGGAATGCATTTGAAGAACGAAACTCCAGACTTCAATTTCATGTAAAGAATAAAAGGTATCTGGCTCATTTATTTGTTTAATAGATGTATTAAAATATTTATTCTGATTTGTTCAATATACCCAGTCTTTCTGTGTCTTTCCCTTATCTTTTCTCCTTTTACTGTATCTGAAAAAACTCAATTTACAATTTATTGGGAGATGAAAAATTGACAGAATCTATGGCCAAGAACAGTTGAGACATGTATTTTACAAATAAGCAAAAAATTTAATTCCTTTTCTGAATAAAGATATTAAGATTTTATTTTTATTTTTTGTTGTTCCATTTCAACAAACATTGTGCAATGTCATCTTACCTTAACATTTCTAGTGGATTGGTCTCATGCACTTGGTTGCCACACCTGGGACAGTCATTGCTGTCTTCAAAGTGTTGAACAATACAAGTCTTACAAACTGAGGGACAAAAAAAAAAGGAAAAAAGAGAAAAAAAATCCTTAGACTAAGATCTAAATAATATTGCTTGAACATGACCGAATGATACCAGCTAACTACTTCATGCATCAAAGATAAAAGAGTATTTTAAGCAAATAATTACAATGTACCTTATTCACTTCTTGTTCCTCAAAGCCATAGCTAGTTCTGCTCTGCCAAGACACTGTGTTCAGCAGCACTGAGTTCAGCAGAACAGGTTAGACAAGTGCTGCTCTAAGTATGCAGTATTTTTACTACTTACAATTCTCCCAGCATCATAAAATGCAAAACCCATACCATGTAGCACACACAGAGAACAGGTTCTGAGAAAGTGCATGCTGGGGAGCTCTAGCCCAGCAGAGCCGATCATCGCTTCAGATGATTTGAAAATGACTTAGGCACATTAGTTTCTTTCCAACTGTTGCTGGCAACCGAAAATTCTGTTGTTAATACTTCTTGTAAAAGAGAAATTCACAGAAATTGTACACAAATTCAAAGTGGCTATGCTTCCCTTTTGACATAGTGCCTTCAAAAGCAATGACAGAACTTACAGCAAACATTTACTACTTGAATCTTATAATGAAAAGTCAGGATCATGACCATGGCAAGTATAAACAAACCCAAAACAACAATGTGACTTTAAAATCCAATAAACTGAAAATAAACTAAACAAGGTGCTATGCTACTGTTAATTCCAAATGATTAATTGCAGACTGTAGATTTTACTGCCATTAATAAGAAAAGATTAATTAATAAGAAGATTTATTAATAAGAAGCTAAGCTGATGCGAACAGATATGCCTGCTATTATTACTGCATTACAACATTCTGGATGGAGATAAACTCTATCCTCTGTTTATCATTACTTCACCTAAACTGAAATGAGAACTCCAAATTCATCAGTAAATGGACTGAAAAAATAAATGGACTGATGCAACTGTAATATGCTTTCTGCTGAAACACTGTAATTTCTTTCATGAATTACCTAAAGAACTAAGAGTACCTCTAAAACAAGCTGGTAAATCCTAATTATATGACAACCTTTAAGGAATCTTGAAATTCCTTTAACAAATGTCACCTAACAAGCGAAGCCTGCATTTATCTTTGCCTTAGTATGCTCAGAAGAGTTACTACAAATCAGCTGATGCTGACAACGCACACCCATTAAACCTCTGTGCAGGTGTTTTGTCCAACTGCTTTAAAACACTAACTTAAGGACATTAACTTCATAGCTTTGCTTGGAAGTACAATGAACTTTCCCCTTTGAGTCTGACGGACAGACTTCAGAGGTCTCTGGCTGGCTCTTGGTGCTCTCCCCACGCTAAACGGCTCTAGCAGTGCTGGATGCAGGGCAGATTTCTGACGATCTGGTAAAATGAGCTCATGGAGCCCACGAGTCCTGCCAGACAAGCCCGGCAAGTGGGGTGCAGTGCTGTCCTCTGCACATGGGGACTCCAGACAGCTGAGAACACTGATGCTATGAAAGCACCACTCAGCCCTCAGGATATGAGTTAATTTTTTCTTAACCTCAGGTTGTGAGGTATTTAGTGCTGGCATACAGATGCACGAACCTGTAATCACAGAACTCTTCTTATATCACAGATCTTTTATAATTTGTTAAGTTACTAGACTTAATTGATTTTTGCACTGTGCATTCCCTAACACTTCCACAGGGTAAGAAGTCTAGTACAGAGCAGCAAATGTGATGTTTTGTACATACAACATTTCTTCACTTTTCTATATACTTTTTGTAACTAAAACTGCTAAAACTAAACTTTTGCTACTTCACTTACAGAATACAAAGAATTTCATCACCCACGCAGAAACCCTCATGCCAGCCTAACAGAGCAGTTAAATTAAACCACAAACACTTAAATTAAACCACAAGTCCGAAAAACTTTTAAAATATATGTAGTTAAGATTTCTATAATCTCTCCTCACTAACATGACTGAGAATCTGCTCTAGAACCGAAAATAACAGAAGTAATCCTTGAAATTGAAAAGATATGAAGATTCTCAGCTTTAAGTTTTTCTTAAGATGTAGTGTCTGCACATGTTCAACCCAGGGGCAAACATCACAAGGTGGAATTCTTCAGCTGACTGGTAGCTCCTCAGCCATCCCAGCTCCCGTAACTATCTGACTATCTTTCCTTCTGTCACCCACCTGAAATACAAAGAAGCGCAGGGAGCTACTGAAGGCATAGTTCAGTTCCTTCACTAATCAAAATCCAGCCACATACACACAGTGATATAATAGGGAAGAGGCACAGACAGTAAAATATACACAAAATCACCTCTCCAAGAATATCAATCACCGTTCTCTTTTCTTAATTAATGCACTAGCTGGATAAGGGTTAGAGCTTTCCGATTTCAACTAGCTATGCCAAGATTAAATAGGTGTGGGATTTTTTTCATTTCTTCACCTACATCTATTATAGACATTTTTAACCGTGTTGTTTGCTTTAGGTGTCACAATAACTTTTTTTTTTTGCACTTTACCTTAAAATGGTTTAAGTTTTTAAAGATTTTAGAGTAAATACTTAAGAACACGACATTGTTCGCCAAAAGGTGTCATGAATCTGTTCTCTAGTGCTACCTTTAAACGAATATCCTGATTCTAAGCACAACTTCCAGCACTTTTGAAGGTAACAGAGTGTACCCTCATTTCAGGCACACAGTCCTAGAGAGGAAGGGGTGTTGTATAGTCACATGTAATAAACAAAAAGCTCTCTCTCTTGTAGCTAGATAACAGGGTGCATGCTTGGTCCCCTGAGGTCAGGAAGTGTTACAAGTGCGTCTCAGAGTCACAGGTGAAGAAGCAGCATCACTTTCCCAAAGTTATACTTGTTGAACAGGCATTGCCATAAGACATAATGCTCTGTAGAAACATGTACTAAGGAACAAATAGAAACCCTACAGGTGTCCAGGCCTGAATTACTCTCAAGCAGCCAATACCACCATTCAAGTGCACAGATAGAATCTGACTAGCTGGCCAAACAACATAATGTAATATTCTCCAAAAATGTTCTTGCTTATTTTCAAACTCTAATTACTGTACTTTTACTTTTTTGATACTACCAGTAGTCCTGAAGATTGTCCAAAAAAAAATGGCTCCAGCTAAATCACGGGCATGCCATGTCATTTGAATTGAAAAAACCCAATAACACTAATTAGTATGAAATTCTGAGACAGTGTTCATGAGAAAGCTAGGGTGACGTGATATTTTCTTTCTGAAATAGGCCATCCTGGTATCATGTCATTCATTTACCTTGCTTTTCTTGAGAAGTGAGAAATGAGTCAATCATAAAAAGGTCCCACTCTAAACATGACAGGAAAATCAAAACAGAAGACAATGTGGCACAAAACTATGACGGAGAAGGCTCTTTAATTGATAGTAATATGCAATCACTGTAAAAAATTAAAAATATTTCAAAACAGAAGACCGTATGCAGATGTAGTGGCTAAACTGCATTTAAATTTATTTATTTAAGCAACCCAGAGATTTTTAGAAAGAGGATAATCTAGAAAAGGAAGTATTGTCATGAATGGAAGTTGTTAACATTGTTGAAAATCATACCTTCCCCGTTCATTAATGGGGGAGATGTCTTCTTCCTATTTATCAAAAAAAAACCATCAGGACATTTTTGGGGCATGTTTCTTCTATATTACCGAAGTAGAGAGCATGAAAGCAATTAAATGTAGAGATAGTAGGTCTGTGTGAAGTAAACCAAAGGACTAAATAGGATTAACCTGTTAAATCTGATGTCAGATACAGTAAAAGTCTGAAACAAGAGTCCTAGAGTAAGCACTTCTTGGATGACTTCAATGAGAATGAAAATAACCATATTCTGCCCAAGCTTCTCAAGGAATCTGTGAAATATGCTACTGTCAATTGAGCTCTTCAACTGCAGCACCTGATAGCTCATAATCCTCATAATCACAATCTATATTGTGCTGAAGGTGGAGATGATACACTGCTTCTGTCAAAAGAAAGTGCACAGATTAGGGGTGGGTGATGACAATACTGATGAGAACCGCAAAGTTAAGAATCATCTGCTATCTCGAAATTCCATTAGTTGGAGAACCTCAATTCAAAGAGTGTGGGGGAAAAAAGGCTGAGAAGCTAGCACAATGATGAAATTGTGAAGTCTAACACGGTTGTGAATAATGGCCATATGGAAATTCAGCTGAAAGTCAGTGAGGTAACACAAGGGTTTGGTTTACTCTAGACCTTTTCTGACTTGACTTCACAGAAACTGAGCTTAGGGATAAGTCTTTTTGAATGGAGAACTGCAAGTGAGATGGAGTTCCTCTTCTGCTAATTCCTACAATAGAGGAAGGGGTTGGTTTTTAACTTTCTTTTTTTGTAAGCCTCCTGTCCGGCAGAAACAGCAGCATTTCTATAGAGTCAGTCTTTCTAACCTGACACCAATTTTAAATGATTGATAAAGAATAAAAAAAATTGGGAAAAACGGTATAAATGTAATTGGTATTGGTCAGTATTAATTTTGGAACTGATAAGGCTAACCCCTAACCTTCTCTTATTTGGGAAATCTTTAGCAATGGAGACTCTAAGAGGATTAGGACAAAAATTCTTCAAAAGGATTACCAGTGGCTTCATATCAATACCAGAGTGGTTTCTTTTTTTCTGTAAGGAATTAGTACTAGCCTCCTTCAGAAAGCATTTCCCTGTGTTTTAAGAAAGCTATGCCTGAAATTCTTTGAAGAGGATTTAATTCCCTTCACTTGCTCTTGGGATCTCTGCTCCATTCACGTCAGAGAAGTTCTCAAAGTCTGTGATGAGATGACACTGACCTGACTGCTTTGAAAAGGACTCATTGATTTGTCTTGTAAAGATGTTTTAAACTTGACTTTGCTGGCTTTTTGTTTGTTTTCCAAACTAAAGACAAAGAGGACCTATCTGAGCTATGGCTTACATTTACACCTAGAAGAAATTTGAAATTATGACTGTTCAGAAGAACT